GCGCACACAGCCGCACAATCTGCCCAGTGTTCCCACAAATAGTCACGTTCAAAGATGATCCCGTTGCACTGAGGATATTATCGGCAACATTAATGCACCAGCAACAACAACAACAACTGCAACAACTTGATGACATTCAACAAGTGCTGTCTGATTTTCAACAACATCAGCAGCAGCAGCAGCAACAACAACAACAAATAGCCGTAATATATCAAGAACAACCACAATGTTTGCCTAGTAACAACTCTTACCTTCTAACCAACAACAATACTAACAACAACATCTGCAATAATAACAGTTATCAAATCAACAACACTAATACTGTTGGAAATATCATTGCTAGCAACTACAACAACAACAACACAGTTAACAACATCAACTATTTTGACAACAATCAACCAAATAATAATAATAATGTGAATAAGAGAATCTATCAGCTTAAAGATAGATATCAATTCAACAACAACACCAACGTTAACATCAATAACATCATCAACAACAACAACAATCTTGACAACAACAACAACAACGATAGTAATAATAACTTTAACTTGGACTTCAGCAGCAACAACAACATCACACATCACAACAGCTATGATGCCTCCATAACACAGCCTCTTCAAAATCTTAAAATTACTGGCACCAATTACACCATCAACAACAACAGCAACAACAACATCAGTAACAGTAACATTAGTGTCAGCTACAACAACAACAAAAACATTAACATCAACAACGTCAGAAACAACAATATCAGTAGTCCACAACAAGTCCCGTCTCTCCAGACCAAGCAACAACAACAACAGCATCTGCAACTGTATCAATTTCAGCAGCAGCAGCAACAACAACAGCATCAATTTCAGCAGCAGCAACAACAACAGCAACAACAGCCTCTTATTCCTCTTTTTGTGCTGGATAGACGTGTTGACGAAGGTTACTAACACATAATAACAATAATGATGACGATAATCATTTTTTGCTACAGCTAAGTACTGGCCTCATTAGAGCAATGTACCACACCAATGAACTGACCCACATACACTTCTCGTAACCTGGTCCAATTCGTTCATCCTGCCACCTATTTTTGACCCAATTTCCAAGCAAGCGGTTTTTTTTTGAACTGATTTCTGGCCAGGTTGCTAAACTTTTTCTGTATCCATCCAGCCTATAGCGGAGAAGTTCTACATGTAGGGCTGTCCTTCGTCTCCTCATTACGATATTTTGAAAGGATGAATGGACGGATTAGTGAATGAATGAATGATTGGTTGGTTGGCTGGTTGGTTGGTTGGTTGGTTGATTGATTGATTTTTCGTTCTCACTCTTTTAGATGCAGATGATGATAAGAAGATGAAAAGAAGGAAAAAGTAAAGTTCATTGTTCATTCATCCATACATTTGTTCCATCGTTCGTTTGTTTTGATTTAACATTCATTCATCATCATTCATTCATTCGTTCATTCATCATCATTCATTCATTCATTCATTCATTCATTCATTCATTCATTCGTTCATTCATTCATTCATTCATCCAGTTGTTCATTTAAGTCTTAATTCATCTATTCATATTTGTTTATTTATAATTTAATAATTTTTTAATAGAAAATTGTAAAGAGAGGAAGAATAGAATGAAGAGAGAAAGGGAGAAGAGCGAAAGATTGAATTCTACACACGCGCGCACGCACACACATACACACACACATACATATACATACACAAATATATGTATATACATTCGGTAGAATTTATAGAATATTGTAAAAATTATGGTCTATTACCAACAAATATATATATATATATACATATGGTTATACTAAAAAAGTTATGTTGTATACATAAATAGCTTATTTTCTTACGATATATGCTTGTTACAATTGCATCCATCTATTCATATTTGCATACTTTGTATATGTATATACACACACACACATACACACAGCACTCAATGGTTAAAGGCGCCTGGTCTTTCTGCTGCAGTGACTGGGTTCGAATACAAAGAGATTCCAGGCTATCATATGCATATCATATCATATGCAATGTGTGTGATACGTGGTTTTCACGCGTATTCATATACGCTGTGTGTGTTTGTCGTTGAAACCTCTGAAGCAAGTGCAAGAGAGAGAGTAACCTTTAACCTTTTTAACCCACATACACACACACATATTTGTATGTTTGTATATGTGTGTATGTTTGTATATGCGTGTATGCTTGTTCTTTATAAAGGTACCCCGGTGACGAGTTTATAATGACTTCACAGCGTCAGCATTTGTTGGGATTCAGCGTTATTTTTCAAATCGGTGTTTGTTTGGAAATTGTTGGCGCGTGTTTTTGTTTAAGTTTGTTTTGTTTGTTCGTGTGTTTGTTTTGTTCGTTTGTTTCGCTGGTTTGTTTGGTTGGTTTGTTTTGTTTGTGCCGTCGTGTATGTGTTGCTTGTTTGTTTTGTTTGTGCCGTCGTGTATGTGTTGATTGTTTGTTTGTTTAATTGTTCAGTTGTCTGTTTGTTT